CTCATAAGTGTCTCTGATGTTTCTTTTGAGATCTGGTGACTGTGGAGGAAACAACATATGATTCACATCATTTTTATCCTCATCAAATCATTCAGTGACCCCTCATGACCTTTGGATGAGGGCATCGACATCCTAGAAGAGACCGATCCCATCGTCTTCAATTTTTGTCCTGTAGTTGTTGTTTTTTTTTCTTTCCTGCCTATTGATAACTAAGTTAAATAAGTTGGTGTGCTGGTTCTTCCAATATGAATCAAAAAATAAGAAAAACAAAGAAACCAAGTGGAAATTTTTCATCAGAGAATAAATGTCATCACTCAGCACAGCTTTGTGTTGTTTTGCAGTGGTCCTTTCCTGTGAGGGGACAAGTGGGCCCAAACCAAACCAGAAGAGCCACAACATACCAGAGCCACAGATCCCCCAACTATAGGGGTTAAGAGTTCCGGTTTAGCCATTGTGTGATTTAAAAAAAAAGTAGATTTCCCTTCCATGTAGCGACATGCAAAAATCAAAGTTGTAATTTGATGAAATCCTCAAAATGATCAAATCCCTGCAAAAGTAATAACATTCCTACCAGACAGACCTGTACTTTGTGGTTACCAAAGCACCAAAAAGCTCCTGTTAGCGTGCCTACACATGTTGGTAAAGACTTCTGTGGAATATCAGAGTGTTAGTTTCATTGTTGTGAGCATGTGAGCGTACTGATAGTCTCATCATTGTTAGTACAGCTGGCTCAGCATCTGCTACAAACATGGTGCCGCAAATTATAAAAAAAAAAGACGGGAAAATGAAACAACAAACATCAAAAGAGAGAAAAATCAGACATAATTTTAAACAAATAAAGAAAATTAAGCTAAATGCAGAAAACAACGATGTCAAATGAAAGTCTAAATACACAGCTGGAGGCTTCGTAAGAAACATCCGCTCAAGCTGTGACTCTACAAATTGATCTTATCCGAGCTGGGTTTAGGTAATGGTTCCTTGTGTACAGTGCAGTCATTTCTAAAGTATGAAGCACATGAAGAAACCTTTTCCTCTGTACAGGTTTACTCACTCAACATCCTCCTGTAGCTACACGTTCTGCTGCCTTCGATGTTCAGTTTCAACTCAGCTGTTTTTGTTTGGCCTCCAGGTGCTTTGACTAAGTCCTGACTGAGACAGTTACTCAGAAAGACTCAGTACGTCTGTGTGTGTGTGTGTGTGTGTGTGTGTGTGTGTGTGTGTGTGTGTGTGTGTGTGTGTGTGTGTGTGTGTGTGTGTGTGAGAGGCTGGTCTGTCTCCACAAGTCTGAAAATGATCCGTCACTGTGTTAAGAACACAACTTAACAGATCACCAAGGAAACCAAGAATTCTTGTGGTGCTCCTTGCCGAAATGTTCCAGGTACTTGTGAGATATCACAGTGTGACTCTCACACACAAACAGTTGTGTAGGTATGCACACCTGGAATGTGGGAACGCCTGAGAAACACAACACAATAATCAACTTGTACAGCATTCACAGATGAACCTAACACAGCAAATAGTAAAAATGTCAAACGCAGCCGTACAGAGGTGTCTCCACACCATAAAACCAGTGCATCATATGTGACTGTAACTTTAGCATTAGTGCATCTGTGAAAAGCTGCAAGTTGTAAATGGCAAATGTAATTGCACATTATGTTTCAGGGTTTAAATGCTGTCTTTGGGGAAGTAAATAAGCAAAGCTGGCACTGAGCAATTAAGCAGCTGGTAAAATAGAGGCAACATCTGAGCTTACACTCCTTTAAGGTCCAAGCAGAAAATTGATTAAAGACTACTGAAAAACACTGAGTTTGATGCAGGATTGAAAAGTTTTTAGCATGTTTTACCTTTTGGCCTTTTGGGAGAGTTCCACCACTTACCTTCAAATACTTTACTGTGAAACAAAAACATTTTGGTAAGTGTGTCGGTGCAATGTGATAAGCACCAAACCCACTGAAAATTATATTCTGCATCTATATTGTTATAACACAAAATGTATGAGTAATGAAACAAAAACAAAATCAATATAACCAACAAAACTTACAGCAAACTTATACAACAAATTATTCATACAAATTTTTTTGAAAGGAAAAACAACTTGCATATCCTTGTAATCATGCATTTTAAACTTAATAAGTGTAATATATTTTCAGTTCCTTAATGCAGCTTTTTCACTAATTCTCTCCCTCGCCTGAGTGTTTGTACATTAATCTTCACTAAATGCTTTTTGAACGGACACATTCCAGCCACATCACACAGACTTTCTACATTCTAACAACATTTAGATATTTCCAAGTAATAACAGATTTTTTTTTTCTTTGTAGGTTAATTTCAAATCTACCACACTCCAAGAAATATCTGTGTCAGAACAGTTTTATAACTATGTATTTTAACAGAAATTGTCCACAGTACACAATGAATATCAGACCAATTCAATGTTAAAGAAAAACACATCACTTTAAGGTTCGTTTTCACAGAAAATTTGTTTACAATTTCCCTATGACACAGATTTTTTATTTTTTTTAAAGATTTTTATTGCTGTAGGTATATTGGGCAAAATTACACCTAGTGAATCATAAAGTCATAGAGAATTCACATTTCTTAGTCCAGGTAGTAAGCTGCCAGTGCATTAACTGTTACTTTCTGTATTTATTTCACATTTATAATAATTATAACTTTAAATATCAGAAAATGTCAATTTTTTAATGATTTTTTTCTTTTCTATTTTTTTCTTTATTTTTATTTTTTTTTACAATAGATACAAAATTGAAATCCCATTTTTTCCTCTTTTTTGTCACTGTTTTTGTTTTTATTCTAGTTCATCAAATGTAGATGCACCATTTAAACACAGAAAAAGTCGTGTTTTTCTGTTTTTGGATGCTGCCAGTATGTTCAATCTACTGTTGTTACGAATCTTTTAATTTTACTGCCTTTAATTTGACAAAAAGTGAATTGTTGGTACTCTAAATAGTTTTGGCCACAATTAGAGATATGAACATTATCGGTGTGTTAGGTAAACTTTTTTTGTACAAAAACGTCTTACAGACTTATAGATCATAAGTTGCAGAATCTATTTAATTAGTTTTTTTTTTAAAAGACGGATTATTAATTTAAATTATCAGCATATTAAGTGTTTCATGTGTGTGCAGCAAAAAGCAAGTATGTTTTTAATCACTTTGTCCAGATTTCACTGGAAATAAGTCTGAAATAGACACAAGGGAAGAAATCAAATACAAGTATCATCCTTGTAAGAGATTTTTTTTAAAAGACGAAGTTTTGATCTTCAGCAACAGGAGTGCATTTTTGAAATAGTTTTTTTTTTTTATTAACAAGATTTAAAAGCAAAGGGGATCCTGAACAAACACAGGCAAAGGTTCATGGGAGAACTGTAGTTCAGGAATGAGTTCCAACATGCAGGACAAGAATGAGAGAGGATTCAGATCCACAGCGCCACACCTCGCCCTGCCACTCCCTGTTCCTCCCTAAACCACCTTTACCTCTCACAGACCTCTGGCTGCTCGAATACATCTCCCTTCTTGCCTTTTGTCTTCACTTCACTATCTCCTAAAAACCTCTTCCATCTTTTTGGGGTTTTCATGTCATGTTTCATATTTAATGAATAACATGCTGCTCTGATTCACAGGAGACTCCTTCAGCTGCACACTCCCTGCCCTGAAATCAAGTGTGTTGCTTCACACCCTTCAAATCAGACTGAGGATTGTGTTGCTTTAAGAAACAACCTAAACTGCAATATAGGAAGAAAAAAAAGTGCACTTTAGTGTTTGGGAAGGTCTTTAATGTGACAACTTTGCTCAATAAAAGCAGAATAAATGCAGATGTAGTTCTTATGATGTCGCACATCAAATTAAAAAAATGATGTGAATCATTTCCTGGCTGGACATGACCAGACTCTAGATTAGCTGACCCACCTTTATTTGTCTAATCCTTCCTGCCTCGCCTGCGAACTGGCACTGGCATGAGCACACACACACACACAAGAGTATATTGGCAGGAAGTGAAAACACACCCTCAGTGGGCAGGAGTCCAAGTTCTCCTCCTATGTTTTTTATTTTTTTTGCTCTATGAAGCATCCTCACTTCACCCCAGTTACAGTTGCACCATTACAACACCAGCAAACTCACATTATAGTGTAATGGATAAACTCTTAGAGCTTGACTGGGTTTTAAGGGCAGTTTTTGATCACACATTAAACTTCTATATCAACTAAAAAGCCTGAACTCACGAGAAATGGGAGAAGCTTTGTGAAACCAGTAAAAAAAAAAAACCTGCTATGTTCTCATGTTTTTATTAAATCCACCTGCAGACAAAAGATACAGAGAGCAGTGAGGAATTGGGGGAAAAAAAGAAGCCTGGAATTTACCCCCTAGCACAGTTTTTCAACCTCTTGTTTTACAGATTCTTTGTTTTTAACCAAGTTATCTGGTTAACTTTGCCTTCATCCTGTTATATTTAGGAAGAGGTTATACTGAATGGTGACGATGTGAAAGTGTCAGTTAAGTTTTCACAGCGATGAATCAAAGACGCTTGATTTAGACGAACCCCTCAATGATGACTTTAACTTGTAAAATACAGGCTTAAATGTGCTGAGATTTACAGCTCTTGCGTTATGGCTGGGAGCCACAAACAGAACAGAGACGGTTCAGACACAGTTTGCTGCTGCACATCAGGAGAGACTTCACTGTGAAACCTGAGTGGCTTCAACATGCAGTGTTTGCTGCCACCTAGTGGTTGTGTTTAACCACACAGGATGTCACGTTGAAGGAGATGATCGAGGCTAATTCAGTGTCTATTACACAGTGAGTATTTTATGATTCTAAAGTGTGCAGAAATGTCTCTCTGAGCTGACACAAGTGACTCATTTAACTCACATTCAGAGCTGTGATTACTACCTGTGGGGGTTTCCTCTAATGCTTCTGGGATTTGAATTTAGGCTTTTAATGGTATGACGAGGATTACATTCAAATATGATTTTTAGTTGAACATTCTTAAATCTAATTATTCTTGGCACAGTTTAATAAAAAATAAAAGTGACTCTCAAACACAATTGCATACAGAGGGTTCACAAATTTAATGAAAAAGCAACTTTCACATTAGAGTGAGGAGGTATTTTGCCATTTGTAACCATCTATACCTTGCAGTGTAGCCAGGGATTTGAAACAGTATTTAGACTAAGATTAAGTACATTTTACAATAATTGCTTTGTGGCTATCATGAGGAGATGTCGTTGTGCTGGAGGAGTCTAGACTGTGTCTCAAATTATTCCCATTTCACTGTCTTGAGGAAAATCCTTGCCTAAACTAGTCAGATGCTGCGGGGCTACAAAAACTAAAACTGTAAATGTGTTAGACCCTCTGACCCTCCAAATACTGACACTATAAACACCCACACATGCATAAAATTTAACTTAAGTAATGAGATGCACCTGCAGCCATATTTGTCAAGGTTGTGCACACAAACATTAAAACCACTGATAGGTGACTTGAATAACACTGAACTCCTTGTGAGAACGTTCTGCTGGGAAACCTGGAGTACTGGCATTCATATGGATGTTATATGGACATGTAGCAGCAGCAGCAGCTTCTACAGCAGGACAATGAGGGCCGTCACACCCCAAAAAAACTGCCCAGGATCAGCTCAGGGATCATAAAAAAGAGCCCAAGGTATTAGATCCGGCTTCCAGTCTGATTCAGCATCCATGGGACGCAGCACAAAAAGCCTAAACTATTAAGATCAACACTTCAACCCACAAAAACCAAAGGATCCTCTTCCCATTATTACAATATTACATAAGGGAGGCTCACACAATATAAGGCAGGTGTTTACTGTTGTGCCCGATACGTGTAGCTACAGTATGCAAAGCCTCAGTGAATAAACAAAAGTGACCATTTTTACACTTTAGAAACTGCATAGTTGTTTAAAATACATCTACATAAGCCGTCAGTTAAGTTCGTAGTGTTTTGTTGTCACCAACAGGTAGCTCATGTGCTGTACGAATCAGCAGCTGCAGTCCTTCAGGTCACAGAGTGTCCTCCTCCGGCAGTTTGGTAAGAATATCCACTCCATCAGCCGTGATGACCACCGTGTGCTCAAACTGAGCTGACCTGTATGACACAATGCACAGGTAAGACTGTTAAAGAAACAGATCAACATTTAAGTAAATATTGCTTTTTTTGTTGAGGGTGAGAAGAGAGTATGGAACTGGAGCTAGGAGGCAGTTATCTTGTCTTATAATACGGACTGGAAGAGGGAAGAAATGGTTGGCCTCGTTCTCCTCAAAGTCTAAAAATAATCCTACCAGCATCTACAGCTCTCTAATTAACATGTCCTATCTCCTCTGGTTTAAACCCACACACAAACAGCAACGTAAACATGTCAATTTGTGGTTTTATGGACTTTCATAGCCGAGATGAGACAGTCGAGATATTCTGTTTGTACCTTTTATCATCTGCAGACACTGCGGTCCACTTGTCCTTCATGATCCTAAACTCCACAGATCCCTCCATCAGGATGGGCTCTGCAGATTAACGCACAATATCAATGCCATGCTCATGGATTCTTCACGTGCACGCAAAAATAGGGAAGTGTAGCTTACCTATTGTGAAAGCCATCCCTTCATCCATGGTCATGTCGTTGTCATTAGCTGAAAATAAAGCCATGTGTAATTATATTGAACCCACACAATCCCACAGGAAGTATTTTTGAGGAACACACGGTCTACATGCACACAAAGGCACAAGAAAAGGGCAGATAGTCGGGTTCCCCTCATGCAAGAACCTTTTGTAAAAACAGACGTCTGCTTCAGTGTCATGTATAAGTGATTTTATAAAACTGAACCATTCACCAGTTTTCTTGTATTTTAATTAATTCTCTGATGAACAAAGAGAATTCATGAGTGTTCTGAGTCACACACAGTCAGACTGTTTCCCTCTCTACGGAAATATAACTATAACTACTAATGCTCTGTTCACTAAATGATCAGGTTTGTCATTTTGTTCTGGTTTTTTTTTTTTTAGATATTAAGATTTTTATTGACATATTTCAGCACGTCAGAAAAAATATATAGCATTTTATGCAGGTTACTGTTCTGCTCTATTGCACACCAAAATGTAACACCATCTAACCACTTTGCTGTAGGAAAAGGTTTTTTTATTTATATCTAACTTTATGCCAAACCAATTCCAGTTTATGTCTGTCACAGCAAAGCACTGCTCTGATGACACGTCACTGGCAGCTGCACTATTACTGTCTATTTATGGTGCCATGTCTTCCAATATCACTACTGACAGGGCTAGTTGTTATCTTTTTGTCTGCATATTGGTGACAGCAGAACTTGATGCTTCACAGTGAGATTTTTTCTCTTTAATCTCTGGTGACTTTCTTTGTGAGTGAAACACATTCAAATAAAATGCAACAGATAAACAGTGTGACGAGAGATTTACAAGTTTTTAATTGACGAGTTTTGTAAGTTTGACTTGGGACACAAGTAAATCTGACGCGATAAAGAGAGTTTGTTTTTTTTTTTTTTTTAAATCTGACGCGATAAAGAGAGTTTGTTTTTTTTTTTTTATATTTATGTTTTTTGGGGCATTTTTGCCTTTTTTAGAAGGTACATTTTGATTATACTCCCTTATGGCTGTAAATACAGACAGCTGGCAACACCACAGATGCATAGTTACTGTAATTCCACTTTCTAGTCTGTTCATGATCTGTTTGGAGGATGTGTTCCATAAATGCACAGTAGATTGGCATCTACATATTCTGTGTGTGAACACTAATGTTGAGCATGCACACTGCTGCAATAGACACAAGTTGTGGTCTACAAGCTGATGTCAGCCGAGGAGTCCCTACTTGGTCAGATGACAATATTTAAATTACACAGAACCCAGCAGACTGTCACATACAAGCAGAAGTAAAACACTGGTGTTACAGTGAAGAGAGACAGGAAATGTGGGGAAAGTGAGCTGAAGTGGAGTTCAGGGTCAGCCGGGGACTGAAGCGAGGAGCTTCAAGCCACTTTTTTTTGCTCTCATGTGTTATGTGTGTCATCTATTCAGCTATCGGATCGCCCAAGTAGGAGAGATTCAGGATAAAAACACATGGATGTTCTTGCATGAGGCGTATGCTCTCACACATCCTTTAACTGGCGACCCAAACTTACCGTGATGCCAAATCTCAGGATGACAGTGGAAGTAGGAGCCTATCCCATGTCCAATGAAATAAGGACACACTTGGAAGCCATTGGAATGAGCTATTTCACTGCAAGCAATACATAAAATATTAGCTGTCGAAGAGAAAACGTAATATGTATTATGTAAGGATTAGACGTGTGTATTCATTGTGTGCTACCTGATAGTGTTTCCTATAACACAGAGCTGTGCGCCCGGTTTGCAGGCAGCGATGGCCTCATCTCTGCAACGTCTGGCAGTTTCCACCAGTCGCCGCCCAACCTCATCCACCTGACCAATACAGAAGGTTTCCGAGGTGTCGCCATGGTAACCATCCAAATACACCTATCAGAAAAAAGGTAGAAGGGAGCTGTGTTGGGGTGACCGATCATATTTGCAGTAATGTGAGTTTCTATTAAGACGTCAACTTACAGTAACATCAATGTTGATGATGTCTCCATCTTCAAGTCTCCGACTGCAGGAAACAGGCAGGTTAAAAAGTGATGGTGTTTATAGAGACTACTACAGCTTCTAAATTACAACATAATAAATGCTGCACATCACCATTATACTTCACACTTTAAAAATAGAGAAGAGTACACAGCTGTATGTTTTAGTTATATTCATCTAATAAGAAATCCACAATGAATTAGTTTCATTTGATGATAACAACAACAACAGCAAAAACAATGTCTAAACCAACTTCATCCTCTCAAAAGCTCAACATCTAAAGATACATGTTACCAAACAAATGTGATTTACATTTTAGATAAAAAAAATATTTTCTCACTGGTTGTGTTTATTTGCTAATTGGTAGAAAGAAGGAAATGATTGTAACGAGAGTGACAGGCGACACTACATTTAACAATACAATAACAGTTTTTTGTTTTTGAGTATCCAAATGTTGTGAGTGAATGTCCGGGTCATTTACCTGTCAGGTATGCCGTGGCAGACCACGTTGTTTACAGATGTACACACCGACTTTGGGAAACCCCCGTATCTGAGGGGGGATGGGTAGGCGTTGTGCTTGACTGTCTCCTGGTGCACGATGAAATCTATTTCATCTGTTGTCATACCAACCTAGAAGTCGTAGATCATAGTTAGTGGGTTGTCTTTGATGATGTAGAAAGTTAAATGAGATTTGTACTGATTAGGTGCTTACTCTCAGACTGCGTCCAGCTAGCAGCAGTACATGTCTGGCTAACTGACATGCTCTGGCCAGGCCTTCGATCTGCTCTTCGTTTTGGATCTCTATGTAGTCCGGCCATTCTGGCACCAGTCCAGAGCTGACATAGTCCGGCTTCACAATGTGCTATAGTTAGGAAGGAGAGGACAGACGGGATATTCAAGGTAGCTCACAATTTCATATAAAATCTACAATAAAACAATGAGGATATTTCACGGCTGAGATGACTTGATGTGAAACGTTGTTCATTTGTCATTCGAGGTTACTTTTTTTTTAGCTTGTTTTTTTGTGCATTTGATCCAAAACTATGCTTTATGCAAACTGAAAAAGTAGAATATGTCATACTCAGGCCACTTAATGGGAACCGACTTAGTTGAGCAAGACTAGAAAATATGTAGCCCTGAAGAACTGAGTCATGCAGCAACGCGTTTAAAAGCATAATTCAAACAGGTTTAACTTGAAGAACTGTAATCAAAATAAACACATCTGTTCCAATGGTGGCGTTTAATCCCATCAACCTTTGCCATATACGGCAGCTTCAGCTAACTGGAAAGTAAATGACAACCGAACAAAATCTGTCTCAAGAAACTCTCCTGATGACACTAATCCAACCTGAATGCACATGTAATTCATCTCAGCTTCTAATTATATTGTATCTGTGATTACAGACATTTCTGACAGCCTGACAAGCATAGAATTATCATGGACCCACATCAAAAGAAGACACAGAACAACTACAACAACCATTGTGTTGTTCCAGCTACACCTTTGTTGTTTCAACTAATTTGGGACTCATTTTAGGCGGGGTACTATACCTTGGGTACTGCATATGCAGGCCTGACAGTAGCTGGGCGAACAACATTGTGAGAATGTTTCCACTTCCTCCAGAAGAAGCGGCGATGTTGCTGACACAGCAGGGCTGTCGGGGAGCTGCAGCTTCCTAGACAACAAACTCTCCGCAGGAAACTGCCGAGTCCTGGAGAAAAAGAACACAACACAATAAGAAAAACAGCCCTCTGTTTATTAATAAAAGGCTTCTGCATTTCTGCTAAGAATAAATAGAAGAAAGGCAATTCTTCTGTTTAGACTGTGTCCCACTCACAAGTGCTCTTTCTCAAGCCACTTCTTCAACAATGACAATGCATATTTATTCTGTGTATTGTGTAAATCATGTCAAAGAACGCCTATTAATACAATAGCATACAATCATGTCGAAGCTGCTACTGAGAAAAGCTGAACTGGGATGTGAGGATTAAATGTCTGTCACAGCGGTGTCTATGTGGTCACTATGTGAACATCATGAGGTTAGTGTGAAGGCTGAATTCTGCCTCTATGTGGAGCTGTTGTGATATCAACAGTCGTTTATTCATCCCCTCCATCAAAGAAAAAGCAAAATTCACAACAGTCACTCAAATAACTAGAAATTGAAAAAAAAAGTAATAATAAAAATTTGCTAAATTATCGTTTAGTGAAATAAGACATTGCTTTTAAATTTTGCTTAAAAAGAATAATTTTAATAAACAAACAAAACTGTCCTGGACAAATTAGAGCAAACAAATTAGAATGGGCCAAAATCAAAATACCTGTCAACAGGTCCAGAAGTCTGACTGAGAGTTACAGAAAACACTTGATGGCAGTGATTGGCTCAAAGGGTTGTTCAACTAGTTTTTAGTGTACGGGTCCCATCATGCTTGTTTGCTTGTTTTTTGTTGTTGTCATTTTTTTAATATTTCTGTTGAACCACAATTCAAAAGCAATGTCATGATTTTCATTACATTTATTATTACTTTAGTCAATTTCAACCTATTTCAGTGACAGCTGTATTTTTGTCCTTCTTTAATGGGAGGGTATGAATACATTTGAGGACCAGTGTACATCCAGTGGCTGAATGAGTGATGTGTGAGGGTCCAACCACAGCTGATGAGCACCTCAGAAATATTTAACAGCAATCCTGGTAACAGCAACATTCATAGTCTGTGTTCTGTAGGATATCTTTGTTGTATGTCACCCCCCTCTTTCACTATGTAAGTACATACACTCACTAATAAAGGTAAAAAAAAATTACCCTAAAATAGTAAACAAACTGTGTAACTACACATCAGGGATGAAGACATTGCATCAATACCACAAGCTGCGCTGTACTACAGTACTTGTATTAAATCCAAAAAAAATAAAAAATCTAATATTGCCCAGAAATACGTGCACATATAACAAATGCTGGTTGAATGCACACAATATCTCACATTCTCCCTTCGGTGCATCAGCCAAAACTGTGCAAAAAACAACACCAGAGCTGTTTAACAACATTCAGACCACCAGCATTTCTATTTAAAATGAGTTTTTCTATGTATTAATAAAGGAGACCTTGGACATATTATGCACCTCTATGACACTATGAACAAAAACTGAACATTATAGGCATTTACACAGCACACAGTTGTACTGAATTTAAATGACCGACTAATTAAATGGCCACAGTGAACATGATATGGACACACTCATACACATCTAGCTAAGAAGTACTAATGTCATTGAATAGAAGTAGTACTGCAGCTCTTTAACATTCAGACAGCAACGGGCGGTCATGTAAACTTGTAACAGAACTGTCTTTTATTGCAGCACTCACTGATGCAGACCCTGTGTGTATTCTGGGAGCGGACACCACGTACGTTTCATTCCATTTAAAGCCACATAGTCTCTTTACTGCAGGACACACAACGTTGCAAGAAGTTAGCATGCAAGCTAACGTGAGAAAACACTGGCGCTTTACTTAGCTATACCAGAGCTGCTTCGTCTTTGAATGTATTTGTCGAAAAGGTCATTGTTTTTCTACGCTACGTGCAAACTCAGAGAGTCAAAAGAGTCATGAACCTATCTCCGTGAGTGAAAAGGGGCGTTAGTGAAGTACCTGCTCTCCCTGCAAGTCCTGCCGAACAGCGCGCCGCCATGAATTACTACCAGTGGTCACGTGTTTACAGTCACGTGATGCACACCCGTATGAAAAACCATAAACCGGAATTATTATTATTGTTTAATAATGTTTTGTTGTTGTTATTATATTATTATTATTGTTTTGTTACTATTAAGAACAATAAAAAGTACTAATTATGCAGAATTGCCCATTTCAAAACTATTGTATATTCATTCATTGATCATTTTATTGTAAATATTTTACTTTAAGATTACAGTTGGTTAAACTGAAGGTATTTTAATGTTAATATTTACTTCCCCCTTGGAGATTCATTTAATAGCTATGCTTCAAAGTTTATTTGTTGAAATAAAATTGTATTGTTTTTTTTTTTCCTGAATATGCAAAGTAATTAGAAACTACAGTTGTAGTCATTTTAATTTGCTATATTTTCCTCCTTTTTATTACTGTTGCACGTATTTGTTTGTTTACATATTTATGCATATTTACTGTGATATTGCTTTTATGTTGTTGCTCTGTTTTGTCCATATTTGCTTGGCTCTGTCATTTCTGTAGCATAGTGTTGTTTTATACACAATCCAGCGGTGAAGGTAATATTCAAATAAATGATGCACTATACAGATGTTTACAAAAATGTACATTGAAATTTTTTTTTTATGTATTTCTACTGTGAATTACAGTAATGCGGTTACTTATGTAATATTACTCGTGTGCATAATTGTACATAAGTTCAATGACATAAGTTGCACAACACTCTCAATTCCAACTTCTTCCTCTTTTGTTGGTTGTTTTTTATTCCTCTGTCTCTCTTCTTGTCTTTGTTTTTGTGTTTGTGTTTCTTTCCTCTATCAAAAAGAAAACATTTCCTTTTTGACTCTTATTTGTCACACTTACCATAACCACAGCTTTAAATTCTGGGTCCAGCTCCATCACTGAGCTATTAGCTTTTCTCCTCCTACCTTGCACAGATTTCCTCCTATTTTGTTAAACAAATTAGAGAACATGTGCCTCATTTGCTTCTGTCCCACTCTCTTGATATTTTCCCATCTAACATCTTCAACAAAGCATTAAACACATAGGTCCCCATTACTCACCTTTACTCAGCCTCAAATAATCCACCACTTTCGATATTGCTCAGCCCCACTTGTATTTGATTTATTTATGGCTTTATCATTATTGGTGACTGTGAAGCACCGATTAACCCTGGATTAGTTTTAATCATTTACATAGTATACTGGGATCTCCCTAAAAACATGAATTGAAGCCGCAGTCATTGTGACACATTATTTACAGTTATACTTTGCTTCAACACAATATTATCTTACTTGAGGGTGCCAGTATGATTAGAGGTCTCCAAACCATAACCCCACCCCCTCACTCCGCCCCAGTATGAAAAAAACACACATACTTAAACACCTTTATATTGAACATTACCTTGAGTTATGCAACACAGACCATGGAAGGCCAAATACCATAGTAGTCTTATCAGTGAAGTCAAACACAGCTGATGTCTCATACAAACGCCTCAACAAGGTCAGTGAGATAAACCCTCATGACCCCACAGCAATACCTGCAGGTTACTGGTCCCTCACCATTGTATACTGTTCTCTTGTTTGTTGTCTGTTTCTCCTTTTCTCTCCCTCTGCCCTGGAGGCAGAAGGTGACCCTCTTCTGTCTTGAAATTACATCGTAAAACACTCTGATAGGATTCATGTTGTGAATTGGCACTACATAAATACAGTTGAATTATAATTTAACTGAATAAATAGTGAAAGCATTTTTAAAAGCCCTTAAAAATAAGCACAAAATAAACTACGTCTACTGGATATTGGAACAAAGTCAGTGTAGACTGATGGATAGATGTGTGGTAAATGAAAGAGTCCTTTAGCTTTATGGACATTTTCACAGCAGATGTTGTGATTTGTCATAGTCAGAAATCCACAAGTTATTATAATAACTAAAATAATAATAATAGGATGAACAATGTGCATGCTCTGTTGAACCGTTCTAACAAGCCATGAGTGTGACATATCATAAACAATAAAAGCAAAACTATTACTAGCTGATGAATTTATTTGAGCAATTAAATCAAAAGAAAAAGGCAAAAGCTCTGATCTCGCCAGCTAGTGGCAGCACTGTCACAACAAATGATCTCATGTATCATACACCATTTTGTGGACATTTTTATTTCTGCTCTTTTTGATTTTTGTAATATATTTTAGATTGACACAATACATCAACCATAAGACTAAGACAAAGAATACTTTGGGTATCACAGCAGGAGTATCTGCCTATTCCACAATGGGGCTTCTAATAATCACATTACATAAAGTTCATAGAATCGGCGCAGTCAAAAAGTTGCACGTAAAGGGAGATGGTAACACCTCTTCCAAAAATCAACCTGATCCTGATGTGGTCGCTCTTAATAGTGGATATTTTCTGGTTTCTTTGCTCCTCTTTTACAGTAAATTGAATATCTTTGGATTGTGGGCAAAACATTTGTAATCTTGGGCTTTGGGAAACAGTGATTACAGTTTCCCCCCATTTTCAATTTTATGGACCAGACTAATCAATTCATCAGGAAAACAATAGAGAGAATAATTAACAATGGTTTCTGTAGCCTCAACAGCAACAGCAGCACTAGTAGAAGCAGCAGCAGCAGTAATGGTAACCTAGTGGTAGTGGCATCAATAGTAGTAGTAGTAGTTGTGTATCAGTGGCAATGTAGTAAAAGTATTAGCAACAGCTGTGGTAGCAGCATCAGTAGTAGTGGTGGGACAGAAGCAGCTGTGGTAAACACAATAAGCACAGTAGCAATGGTGTAAAATACTGAAGTAGAGGGTTTGCAGGTCGACAATAATGCAATAAAAGCATCCTCTTACATCAGCTTTGTTTTGTGTGTACGTATGATGCAGTTCCTCCATCACAGCAGCACCTGTGATAGGAACTGTATGAAGACTCCCTGACCAGCAGACCGATGGTGTGATCCTGGGCGGATGTATTTGACGTTGCTCTCTTTGGTTTCGTTTTCCTGCCGGGAGCCGCACATCTGAGCGCGTGCGCTGCGCACTGCTCGCTCACGCTCACTGTGCGTGACGTCAAACCAGCATGGCGGTCAAGGTGACTTGGGCATCTCTCTCTATGCGATTTTCAAACCTCTACTTTACCGTGTCTGCATGTCTTCTGTGCGTTTTGTCGCGTTGGAGCCGCTGGAGCCAGACTCTGAGATCCTGCCCGGGCAGAGTGTCTCGGATGCGGTGTAACATGACGCCGTAGCATCCCAGGGCTAGCGGCCGCCCGGCGGCGGCTGGCCTTGATGAGACATCCACAACCTCGAAGCTAACCTGCTATCCGACTACTGTGATAAAACCACCACCGCTAGCTTAACTCGCATCTTTTCACGGCAGTCGACTCTTTGTTTGCGCTCATTCTCCGGCGTTTCACTGCTGTAAATGTTAGCATGTCGCTGAAACGGTTTGTGTCCTCTTCACAGGAGTAGTTTGTGCTTTGCTAGCTGGCTACCCGGTAATGTTAGTTTGTGTTTCTGTACAGATTTTGCCTCGTTGGCTTTTTAGACTCTTAGATTAGCTGTCTCGCTTGTTTGTTTGTCGAGGTGTGGTCGTTTAGCTGTGATTGTGTGTCGTTTCTGTCGCAGTGGGTTGTGTCTCCTTGAAGGCAGTGGACGTTTCAAGGAGACATCAACCAAAGAGTAGTTAGTTCATGTTGTGTTCAGTGCAGCGGCTGTAAAACCCGCTCTGATCAACAGCTTTATCTGAATTGTAAAAGCGTGAATTAACTGAAACGCAGAATGTCATAATGTGATTTTATTGTGTGTTGCTGTAGGTGCAATCTACCAAACGTGGGGACCCAAGTGAGCTGAAAACAATCTTCCAGAAGGTAAGACTTCCTCAGACTTCCTCTTAACAGCATCAGCTTTAGATATTGCTTTGGTCAGCTTTCTATTTTGTGTGATCAGATGTAGTTTTGAGTCACCTCTTTAAGAGGAAAACAACACACCCAGGAATGCTTTTATTTGGTGAAAGAGCTTGTAAGCTTGTGTCATGGGGTTTAAATTACAGCATTACCCACAGTTGAAGGTTCAACACAGACTGCCGTTGTTACAGTAAAGCCAATACGACTGTGACTGAACAGCTTGTCATTGAGTTCATTCATCCATTAGCCTAACATTGTGCTTTCTCTGACAGAAGCTGAAGCCAAAACATAATTGCAGTTAATACTTGGGTTGATGTTGAGTCAGCACGAGTAGTAGTCAGTGGAGTGGTTGACTCCGTCCGTTTGGCATGTCATTGGAATGTGTTGGCTGTAGTACTGGCTGCTTTCTGAGCCATCAGATCTTTATTGTGAAGGTCCAGGCTTCCATCGCTGTTTAGGTACAGTTGTTAAGGTTTTACTGCACTGTCTTCAATACAAACTGACACAAGCTTGAACTTGCATGTCCTTGTCCTTCTGTCGGTCAGGGAGCACGGTGTCACACAAGTGCTCATGTTGTGTAAGATTTGCATATCAGGCGAGACTTGGACTGCTTTGTGTTTGGCCATGAGGTGTCATTACAGACTGCAATAAGATTTGGTTAACCTTCACCTTACTCCTCTTCCTACTGCATGTGGTCGTCATGTGCAGCAGCACTTTTAGTACTCTGATACGGGTCAAATATCTCACGCGCTCGAGCCAAAAGCATCGGGAGTCCTGTGCGTGCGAGTGTGAGCTGGTATGATTTTGACATGTCATGCTACAGCTGCAAAACAGACCAGTGACCTTTGTTGTTCAGGTGCAGCATGAATAGCTAGCACAGTGTAGTCCTCATTGATGCAAGAATGCTTTTGTAAACCTCTCTTTTCTTAGTATGAACACTTTTGTTAATTTGTAATAAAGCCAGAGTGGCACTGAGAGAACTTTGATATATATAAATATTCACAGCTTGTGACAGTAGATGTGAACTTGAGCAAAGAGCCTGCAGTATGTAGTGTAGTATTATCATGCTTCACATTTAAACCTTTGAC